CACTTGTATGCTAAATTGTGTCTGGGTCTCCCACGAGCTGTTATTTTTGTAGATACCAGTAAATCATGAATCATTAAACGTGATCGGATAAAGAATAGCCGACATAAACTGCTTTATTGTCGACAACATTCCAGCATGTATTATTAAATATTGTCAACATTAAGCAACACTTGTTACTATTGCAATGCCTGGAGATTATTATGCTTATAGCAGTCATTGTTTTATCTTTTAACTTATTAATGGCATTTTTAAATTTTGGGAACATTAGCCGTTAATGTTTAAGAAAAATTCACGCCGAGACTGTTAGATAATCTTGGCATATTTGGGAAGGTTATTAGAACAATCCAGAAGCCATACTGGCAGCAAAACGCCTGCTTACGAACAGAAAATAAATTCAGTAAACATACAAAAAAATGGAAGCGTTTTAAAACAAGAATGTGTCTTTTCACCAGACTTATTCAATTTATACAGTGAGACGATTCTGAGAATGTCCTGTACGTTGGGTTAATTACTTGTTTACACGTGAAGAGCAGACAATGACATCGAGTAAAGGCGACAATCTGCACTAGTTGGCTCGGACATTTTCCGCATTTTGATGCAGTTGGAGTCACATGCGATCTTGTGGTGCACTGAATAAGAATTTTAATTTGGTATTATCTATGGTGACCAGTACATACTGAATCTTTGTAGAGCAAGATATTTTCACAAAAATGTTTCTTAAATACATTAAATTCGATTTAGCCAGTCTAGTATTTCCACGATTGAATCACATACTGCAAACCTATTATTGACAACCGTAATTTATTGGTGGCTACAATCTTAACAAAGTAAGATGTACCGATGGTTGGGAGTAGATACAGAAAGGAAACTACAAGAACTTCTACAGAAAGAAAGCTAGAAGAAAAGACTAAACATCAATGGCAAGAAAACTGAATGTATGTTTGTGTGCAAATGGAATAGCCCAACATTCAAATTACAAAGTGGAGATAACCAAAATTAAACAAGTACAAAAATTTAAATATCTGGGAAGTCTTTTAACTGGGAACGGAAGGTGAGACACTGAAATCCGAAAATGCATTTGGATCGCGAATGAGGTCTTCCAAAACTATGTAAATCATTAAGAATGCTGAACTAAAATAAGTCCTCCTATATATCAGCGAATAAGCACGTCAGAAATGTGCTATTTTAACTTTGCAGTTATTACCTAAATTCATATGCTTTCTATCGGCTGCCTTATGATAAAGTTAATGGCGACATTAACCATTTCAATACAGGAAACATTAGGCATTCATTGATTGAAAATCAGCGTTATTGGCGAATGAATTTTATCAAATAGATCTTTTTAAATAGGCATCAAGAAAGTAGGCCACAATTTGGTTCCTTAAACTTTTGTTCACGGTACTGTTGGAATCCATTGTCTTGATTATGTCATTATTTTCCCTTCTGGATACATTTTAGTTGCTGCTTTTGGAGGTTTTCAAGTGATCTATTTTTTCTTATTTGTCAATAATTATTATTTGTGAATCTGTAGGGCCAATATATTAGAATTGATGAAGTACTGTCCTCTTTACAACCTACAGGATGCATTCGCTTGAAATACTTTTTTTTTTTATGAAATTGTTATAGTTAAGATTTTATGTTCCTTGGTCTAATTCAATATTGATATAAACTTTATGTGCTTGTAATTTTGTCATTTCCCAGAGTAATAAAAACACAGGCCTGAATCTGTAATATGCAAAATTATTCAACTCCGGCTATCGTTGGTTAATATCGGCGAGTGGGTGTGTAGCGTGTCGGGTTTTATTCGAATCTCGATTCTTCTTTGCACAAGGATGTAAGAGACTCTCTACACTTTCTCTGTCTCTCGGGGGTGCATATATGTTTTCCTTTTTCCACGTGTGCACATCCTAAGTGCAGCTGGGTTAATTACCTGTTTACATATCAAGGGCAGACAATGAAATCCAGTGAAGGCGACCATCTGCACCAGTTGGCTAGGATATTTTCCGAGTCAACATTTTGATGCAGTTGGAGCCACAAGCGATCTTGTGGTGCACTGAATAAGAATTTTGTCATCTATAGTGACCGGTACATACTGAATCATCGTAGATCAAGATATTTTCATACAAATGTCTTTTTTTAAATACGTTAAATTCGACTTAGCCTGTCTAGTATTTCCCCGATTGAATCACATACTCCAAACCTATTAACGACAAGCGTAAAATATGGTATTTATTATTAAATTGAAAATAAAACCCCGGTATAACTTACAGGTTTATTCACATTTTGTAACATTTTATATAGTAAGTGTTTATATACATTGCTCTATGTATGTTAAGGCAGCTTTTTATAGATTTCTCCGTATATAATATTCTTCTATGTACGACGTCGTCCATGAAGTTGGCAATCATGGCTCAACACAATTTCCTGTCTTTTGTAGCTGTTAATAATTTTTGTCATTTTGCTGTCTTTATTAAAATCTGTTTTGCCACCCATTTACGCAAGCTCGCTAGGTAATACATTGTTTCATTTATGATTCTCACCTTCAATCAGCCATGTGAATATCGAATTTTCCGATCCCTCTTTCCTCTGTATGCTGTTGAAACAGAAGTAAATACACAGTCGTCAACTGTCCTCTGATTAGAAATTCAGCTTTAAAAAGCTACTGGTGTTTAATTTTAAGCCGTTTAAAGAGTCTGTTTTTCACTTTTTTCCGATTTTATTTTTCACTTGTGCCATATTACCTGTGTCATGATTACCGCTCACCAAATCATATGACCAATATAAATCTTCTCATAATTTTACTTAAAAAGAAGCTAATGAATGTGTAATGTAAGGTTTTCAAAACGATTTGGCACAAGGAACACGTTACCTCATTATATAGGAGATTAAATAAAGCGAAGTATTTAGTACAGCAAGTGTTAATTCCATTTCTATCATATTTCTTTTAATGTCGTTGTTTACAAGCTAGAATGTTTATTTTCATGACTACTTGAAAGTAGATATGAAAATACATGCCTATGGACGTGCCTGCAGTGTGTGATATTTACGTAACTCTCAGCAAGGGCCTAACAACAGCTGGTAATACGAAAGACTGGTAAGCGGTAATAAGGGCACAGGTATAATGGCGTAAGTGAAAACACAGGAAAAATGACACACTTAGAAAACAAACGCTTTAAAAAGCTTACAATTAAAGACCAGTAGCTGTTTAATTTTAAGCTATTTGAAGCTAAATTACTAATCAGTGGACAGTTATTTATTTATTTCTGGTTCAGTTGCCCGGGAAGTACAATCAAGAATTAATTAACATAGATAAATTATTTTCCATCCAAATTTCAGGGATAAGGAGTTATCATTATTTACACTATTTACACTCGGACTATTGTCTTCATCGTTGTTGTTATCAGTATTGCTGCCTGTCATGTTTAGTTACTGCTGTTGGAAACTAGATGTCATTTGTATTTCTTTATTAACGGCTCCCACATTGTATTTATTTCAATCCTAGGCTTACTAGTTAGATCCTCATAGTCTAACATATGCGGTGACTTTTCAGGCGTCACACTCTCCGATATTCTTTGTTCTAATTATGTCCACACAAACATGTATATGCACAAAAGCTGAGTATCATCTACCATGTATTCAATTGTGAAAGCAGAATAACATATTTTTATTACTCCAAAGTCTGCATTAAAAATTTAATTTCGTTACTAAATGACCCATACGGAGTTTACATGCCGTTAAACAAACAAATCAATCAATCGTTACTTATATTTTCTGGACATGTTATTCTCAGCATCCTCTATATCAATAAACTTCTGTTGCTCGAAATGTCCGTTATTCATAGCCACAGAGGTCAGATATTACGCAGAAGGTCAGCACGTAAATATTCTGGACAAAAATATTCTATATTTCCCACCTTATGCTGGAGAAATTATTTCTTTAACATATTTTAAAAAAAATATAAAAACTGGTTTGAAAATCGAAGTTTGTCGAATTGGTTCTTCGATTACCGATATTAAATATAGTCACTTCAAGCAAGTATGTTTGTTTTTTTACATGTCTTTCGATATTCATCGTTTTTCGTCCTCCAGTTAGCAAAAGATGTGACCACTTATTCTTCTAAGCACGAGTTTTCGCACAAGTTGATTTCTATCATTTTTTAATTAATCGGTTGATGTCGGAAAGTAATCTGGAGGCTAGTGTAATTAATTGCATTAATTAAACGAAGGGAATCCCAGAAATTAATAAAATGCGTTAGAAATAAATGCTGATTGCAAACGGGATAAGCGAAAATTTATTTGATTTGATTTTATTTTTGCGAAATGTTAACCTCCCCCCTTTTTCCCCCTTTATCATGAGAGATTTGTATTGCTGTTGAGAAAGCGAATTCAATATACTGAAACAAAGGAGACGCCGTGAGGGAAAAATTTGGCGGTAGTACAAATTTACATCCGTTTTGAACATGCATACAAAAAAAATGCGCGGCCTCTCTGTTCCTGCTGTGATTAATATCAACATGTCATCTTTTCTTACAGTAAAGTTAAGTTGATACAAGGCTCAAGAGCCATTCAAGCAGGAATGTTATTACTAGAATGATTAAAAAGAATGTAATGTGATATGAATGGAAAAGGAAATGTGTTGTAACCTAGAAAGTGTTATTGAATTAGGAATAAACAAGACGGAGGTTGGACATAAAGTGGTAATATTTATAACATAAACAAAATAGAATACTCGCTAGCAGCGTGACATAGGTTACCACTGCTGGTGGTGGACTACTTAGACAGAATATTACTCCCACTTCAACGTATTTATGTGGATAGGGACATACCCATTAGTGTTCATAGATACGGTATTTAACAAAATGATACCATGAAGATAGGTAAGATAGATAAAGATTGATTCTTGACTTGCAGAGGTTTAGAATGTAGGGTTCAAATTGTCAATTTTTGCGAGTTTATATTAATAATTATTATGATCATACTATTCCTCGTTTCAAAATGGCTTACGGCCGCATCACGTTGAAACACTGGTTTCCGTAGGATCACCGAAGTTAAGCAACGTCGAACCTGGTCAGTATCTAGATGAATGACCGCTTAGAAATAACAGGTGCTGTAAGCTTGTATGTCCGGGTGGTGTAATGGATAATGCCTCCAAATTGGAAATCGGAGGGCCGAGTTCCAGTTCATTTCTGTGCAACTAATATTGGGGGAATGTATGTATTCACCATTTCTCCCCCAGCTATGGATTAATTAGTAAGACTTGTATCATTAAAAATATTTTTATCTCAGAATAAAAAAAAATATAAAGAAATGAATTTGCGTTCAAAATGTTTGGGTTTCGGTATTAAGTAGCCCATAGATGTCGATATGCCGCTAAACAAACACAACCAACCATATCAAAATATTTATTTTAAAATAACCGTTCAATGATAATTTATGAGAATTCATTTTCTTAGCGTTACTATCGTCAACGTATCTGTGATTAATCTTCTGTTGTAGTTTCGGGATCCTGATAAAAAAATTGCACGTAATGGTCATTATAGCAATAATTTCTCTCTCTCTCTCTCTTCTTTCTATCTCCATCTCTCCAGTATGGTCAGTACTTTGATAGGTGACCACTTGGGTATACGGTTAAATCACGCTGAAACACTGGTTCTCGTTCGATCACCGAAGTTAAGCATCGTAGAGCCAGGTCAGTACTTAGATGGGGGACCGCTTGGGAACACCTGGTACTGTAAGCCCCCAACCCTTACCTCACAGTCGGTGGATGGGGGGTAAACGGTAGTGTCAGAGCTATGCCGCCCGGAACTTCGTTCCTGGTAGGGCCACCCAAGGCGGACAGGTCTGACACACACGCCGGCTAACAAGGGCTCTGGTGAAAATCCAAGGAGCGTCTGCATCGGTAACCGGCGGCTTCTGGTCGTTCCTGTCTCTGCGTCTGTGGGAATCCCGCGGCAAGCAAGAACGTTATCCGAGTAGGCCTGGGTACCCTACTTCTGTAATTTATCCCAAGAATCTTCTTCTCATAACAGGAAGAAGCCGGCTCAATCCGCCCAGGGTGAATGCCGCATCAGTACAGTAGTACAGTTCTTGAGTATACCAGGTACTGTAAGCTTGTATCTACCGCTGGTGTAATAGATAATAGCTCGGAATTATTAATATTTCTACTACTACTAATACTAGTAATAATTATCATAATTGATATAATTTTTAAGATTAATAAATTATTGATATCGTCAACAAAAGCATAAATGAGCTTTTTTTTAATTGGAAATTTTATTACTTCAAATGTTATTTTTTAATGCATACCAGTGTTTGAAATTAGATGAGACGTTTTTAGTTTTAATTTAAACAAGGGTATGTACATTCTGTTAACCTGCATAATTTATTTATTTAATCTCGACAGACATAAAACGAAATCTATGCCTTTACTCTTCCTTTCCATATGTAAGTATTTAAGCATACACACTCACACACAGATATATGATAAAATTATACTTTTAAGATATGCTATATATATATATATATATATATATATATATACAGATCAAAAGTTTAAAGCTACCCCAGAATTAGCATGGGAAATTGGCAGAAGAGTGAAACCTTTTACTCCCAAAAAGAGCTTTTAGAGCCACTGAAAAAAAAAGGAATCAGTTATCTAAGATATGAGAAACTTCTGCAACGAATACCAAAATTTTCTGCAGCAGTATTCAAGGTTAAATGAGGATATTTTGATGCGATTAAAATTTAATCTTAAAATGCATTTTTTTTTCTTTTTGACAAAAAAAACTGTAATAAAATATTTTCTAAACCATGCATAATAATTTTATCTTAAACAAAGTACAAAACAACTACTTTCTGGACCAATTTATAAAAAAATACTAAGGGTTACATCAAACTTTTGAACTCTAGTGCATATGGTCAAGGTGCATATATATATATATATATATATATGTGTGTGTGTGTTTCTCTGCGTGTCTATGTCTGTGTAAATATTCTCAGATAGATTATATTTGTTGAAGAAGCAAAATAAACGAAAACACAATGGGAAAAATATACTTAGTTTAGCCAACACGTTTCGTCATTTGACGGACATTATCAACGCATATTGTGATGGTTTTATTTTGTAACATATTTGACAGAATAAAAGCAACACTGTTTAATCGAATGTGTGTGTATATATATATATATATATATATATATATATATATATATATATATATATATATATATATATATATATATTATACTCATCCACAGACATAGTTTCGCTGTATCACAACTCTCAGTGTGCCCAGACGTCCGATTTCTTCAAGCCTGGATCGAAACTCGACCGATTTGGCATCAGTCAGAGATCCTACCCCTAAGCTGTCGGCGAACAGCAAGGACAAAGTGAAATTTTAACTTTTTCTATGCGAAATACGGTAGTAGTCAGGAGAGCTCAATTACTTGAAGAGCAATTCATATATATATATATATATATATATATATATATATATATATATATATTGGTTGATATGCATATATGCGTTCGGGCGAGATATTGGGTATTTATTCATTAAAATCTACAGAAGCGAATGCGAATAGTGAAGTAGATTTTTGCCACTGATTCCTTCCCTTGAAGATGAATCCAGACAAAATTGAAAGCTTCGGAGAAATGAATAAATTTCGAAGAGCATCATAATCCCCAATACATACATACATTCATACACACACACATTTTTATATATATATATGTATATATATGAATGTATGTATGTTATCAAGATTTCTGGAAAATTAAGAGTCAAAGGAAATACTTTATTTAATGGTAGGGTAATTTCAAGTGATATGTGAAATGTCTATCAAACAAGGAAAACACCGTGTGACAGGTGAACAGATTGATCAATGTGACCGAATTCTCTGAAAGATTTGGTGGTAAAGATATATAACTATATATAGAATACGTAAAAAATGCTTCGATTTTATATGAATTGGTCAGCACTTCTCCCTTTGAATCAGAATATCTTTACCAAAGATCAGTGTAGCATTTGTACACTTTAAAGTGAAATATTCTGCCTTGGATTATTTTAATCTGAGAAAATTGTTATACACTTGATAAGAATATTGGCAATATATTGTCATATTGCGGTATTTTTAGATCTTATTAAAACCATTATATGGGCTCATACTGACTTTGTTCAAACTTTTGATACCGCCATTGGATACGCACTCCCCCAGTAATTGTAACTCATGGCCTCTCAGACTAGCAATATAAACCACAGATGGTTTATGTGGGTGCTGAACAAAGATGAAGTTGTTTGAGCAGATATCTGCAAAAGGGACTGGCTATCCGCATGCGCAGACAAGTGTGCTTGGAAACAAGCAACCAACCATTAATATATAAGTTTGGCTAAATAATAATGAAAGTTTTGGGGGGTTTTTTTTAGCTAAGTACATTTTGTTTTTTGTTTTTCTTATATTTCTGACCATTTTCTTGGATTTGCGTACATATTTAGATGTAAATTGTCCAGTACCTGTGTACGTTTGTCTATTTTTGTCGTTAATCAGGAAAAAAAAAACCCAGATACATATCGCTTACATGTGTATCTACTAAGAGATTCGAGAAATATGACCTGATATGAGGATGCTTTTCTGTTAACATATATGCCAAGGGAACCTCTCGCTCTCACTTTACCACACACATTACGCGCATTTCGATCTTTAATACGTGAAATTATTTAAGTTTTCTTCTTATTTCTCTTATAAACAAACTCTAAAGGCTATCGGGTATGTATCGATTCCTCCGATGACAAGTTTTAGATTTCTATGATATATTCGTGACGGGTCATAAGCCAGTACTTCAAGTCAAGCCCTACAGCATACAGCGATGTAAGAAGATGCAACCAGGATGTAGTTTCAGCTTTTTGTTAGAAAATTAAGATAAGCTTCCACAACATATGAAATAGAAACCTCAAGTGAAGATGTGCTCGTTATATTTTAGTTTCGCTAGCAACTTTAAACCCCTGATTTGATCTTACCTCTTCCAGTCTACCATGCTTTACATAAATTTCGTAATCTTATCGAACGAGGAAAACTATAAGATTCGATTTTATAATAGATACTCACATATTTACACCTGGAGAGCTTTTCTCTGTTATTAGCTATCGTATCTGTTAAATATTTAAGTAGATGTTTATGTGGCATTTAATATAAATAGAAGGATACATTAACTACTTATCTTAAAATGTTTATTCTTACAGTAACATAAATGATAATACATCAAATACTAAAACTATATAGTATTAGATCTTAAGTGGTTGCTATTAAAGTTTTATTGATATCTTTAATATTGTTTTTATGATGAAGCCTTTTTTTCTTAGAATCCTTGTAACCTAACATAAGAGGCGACAAGAAATTTATGAACAATTTATGAGTGGTGACTGATATAAGAATATCTCCATTGGGTTTCTCTCCTGCTTCAAAGAACAATTGTACTGGATTGTCTTTTTGGATCTCAGTATGCATGCTTACGGACTCATCAAGTTGAAACATTGGTTCCCGTACGATCACTGAAGTTAAGCAACGTCAATCATGATCAGTACCTAGATGGGTGAACACTTCGAAATAACAAGTGTCGTAAGCTTGAATGTACGGATGGTCTAATGGATATCGGCCCGGAATTGGAAATCACAGTGACGCGTTCAATTCCATTGAGGTTTGTTATATTCACATATGCCCTTGCGAAACGTATGAATCACACACTTCCCTCCCTCCAGCTAGTGAGTAATTAGAAGGATCTGTATCAGTAAATCATTATTATCTCCAAAAGATCGTACAAACTAAAAAATATTTTCTGGCATGAAATAACCGGCAAAATTTTGATAGGCGGTAAAAAAAAAAAACAAATCCATGAAACTCAGTATGCAAGTAGTTTCCAGAAATTACTTAATTCTTGAAATAATAAAGAAGTTATGAAAAATGCTATTATAGAATGATAATTATTTTCTTCTAGAAGAAATATTATGATTTGGAGATTTAAATTTTTTTATATTAAAGAATTAAAGAGGGTGTCAAGGATAAAATAAAGTTTTAACTATTCATTGTTATATCGTTATTATCTGACTGTACAGGTCAG